CCCATGTGCATGTGTGTGTGTATGCACACGTGTGTGCGGATGTGCGGTACATGTGAGTCCTGGGCCGGCGGCTGCAGGTCAGGAGTGGCGGTGCAGCCGCGCCGCCTCCTCCCGGAAGCAGTGCGTCAGGCTTTCCCCAAGCCCTGGCTTGCAGATGAAGGCCTGGTCTCACCTGAGCTGTCTCTGGGCCAGTGTCTGTGTGACTGTGCGTGTGTGTGTGTGTGTGTGTGTCCTGGGGTATGCGTTCTTTGCTGTCTTGAGGACTAAGCAGGAACAGGCAGCTGAGCCTTTCTGTTGTCTCCAGCACATTGTTCTGGGGCCGAGGGTGTTGTCATGGCAATCGGTAGCTGCCCTGTCAAGGAGCAGATGCGTGTGTGACCGTGTCTGGGGCCGGGCCGGGCTCAGCACTCTGCTGGGCCCCTGAGCAGGCCAGCAGCCCCCGGCCTGTCCCTCGCCCTCAGGCCCTCCCTGGGAAAGCTCTCATGAGATACAGCGAGTACGAAGAGCCCACGACCTTTACAGCAGCCGAGGCACTGAGCCTGAACTCACCTGGTCACCACCACGGTCCGGACGCTGCCTCCACCTTAACGGTAGAGAGGTTACCCCGACCACCACAAGGCACAAAGCCAGCCAAAAGCAGACCTGGGTTTAAACTCTGGGTGCCAGGCCCCAGGGTCTGTGCTCTTAATGGCTACTCTTGGGCCAGTTGGGCCACCAAGGGTCCCTTCCCTCTGCTGTCCCATTCCCTGGGTGCCATGGCTTCCCATCCTCCATCAGGGAAAAAGTGGGAGGTGTTGCTGGGCCAGCAGGTGAAGCACATCGCTCTCCTGCAGGCCTGGATTGTGGTGGTCACACGGCCGGGCCGAAGGAGGCTGGGGTGAGGCGGGAAAGACAGCTAGACTTGAACACACGACCGCCTGGAGAGGTGCAGAGGGTCAGGTTTGGTGCGGTTGGCAGGGTCGCCTGGCCTTGCTGAGAGCTGAGAAGCAGGCAAGTGAGGATGGCGCTGTGCACCAGGGAGCAGCCTCGACCTGGGGAGCAGCTGTGTCCCTCCAGGCTGGAGGACATCATCCTCACGCCCGCCCCGCCGGCCCGGGCGCCTGCCATGTGACGCGGTGCGTCTGGGCTGGCCTGTGGACTGATCTGGACAACAGGAGGCAGTGGACAAGATGGTGCCAGTTCTCTCTGGGCCTCAAGCAGCCTCGTGGCGTGGGCTCCCACACTGGACTCTTTGGTCTCCAGTGGGAAGTAGTCCGGCCAGCCTGCCGAGGAGATGTGTGGAAGACCAGGCCCGGCTGCCTCGACCAGCCTGCGCCAGGCTGACTCCAGACAGGCTGCGTTCCGCCGAGGCCATGGGCCTGCCGGGCCAGCGCCGTCCTGGGTGTGTGACCGTGCACACCCGGGGCCACGTGTGTGGGCTTGGGAACGGCAGCAGGCAGGCCCGGCTTGGTCAACACCATGAAGCTGAACATTACTATCTCCCAGTGTGTTTCTGTGTTGTCTGTTGGCAGTTCAGGGATTTAATATTTGTTAGGTGAGTGCAGCCCTTTTGCTCTGGTTATTGTTGAGATTGGGTCTTGCTTTTGGCTGGACACGGATTCACTGTAATCTTAGCTTCCCACAGCACTGTAAACCCCATGCTGTGCCTTTTAATGGCAGGAGTGTCCCTCCTGAGGAGAGCGCCACGAGGGGCTGCGGTCACTGTGACCGACACGCGACGCGGCCCGGCGCATGCCCGCCGCACCCGGCTGGACACGGCAGTCCGCTCCAGGCTGCGGCGTTGCGCAGCGTGTGGATGCTGTGGGCTCTGCTGACACAGTGACACCTGTGCTCTTCCCTGAGACCAGGACAAAGCGCCTCCCTGGAGGCACAGGCCACAGCTCAGACTCATCTGCTTTGTGCAAGGGACATGCACTGCCTCCCCCCTCCCCTGCTCCCTCACTGTACTCCCCCCTCCCGCCCCCGTGTCCACACCCCTGCAGCATGGTTCATGGCACCAGCTCCTCGCCCCAAGCCCACATATTGCTCTCTTGAGCCTTGAGCTAGTGTCTTCTCAAGTTTAGAGTGTGTGTGTGTTTGTGTGTGCGCACATGCATGTGGAGGTGTGTTCTTCCTGACTTCATCTTGCTGCCTCTGTGTGTGTGTGTGTGTGTGTGTGTGTGCGTGTTGCATGTGGAGGTCTGTCCCTCCTGCCCTGGGCGGCGCATCGTGGTAGTGAAGGTCCACCCCCAGGCAGCCTGGACGCTGTGTGACCTGCCGTGAGCCCCGCCCCCCTCACACTGGTCCTCCTCCATCTCCAACACAAGCGTTTGAGATGGCCCCTGGTCAGGCCGTGACGAGAAGGCCAGGCTCGGCCTGCCGTCGTGTTCAGCCTCACCCTCACCGCTGGCCAGCAAGCCAAGACGGGGAAGCCGCACCCGGACGACCAGATGCTCAGCCTGAGAAGCTGGGGCTGGTGTGTAGCGAGCAGCAGTGTATTTGACGGGCCTGTGAGGTCCCGTTCAACCTCGGCATCACAGAAGGAAAAAACCACTGGCCACGTGGGAAAACCCACCTCCCTCATGGCAGTGGTGGCCTGTGCGGGGCAGCCCTCCGGAAGTCTTGCCCACACTGGGCCCCAGGCCCTGGGCTGCCAATGTCCAAGGCCTGGACTTGTGACCGTTTGACTTGGCTTCTTCAGCTTGTGGACTTTTGATATCAGTTATGTTGGAACGCTACTCCAGGAATAAAACAAAGGGGAGAAGGAATAGCTTTGCTCACAATAGAGCCAAATATTTATTACCATAAGAATCTTATGACTGTGGGAAGGTTAGTAGCAGCAATAACAATAACAACAACAATAATGAGCATTCATCCATCGTCTTGCAACTCAGGAGGCCATGCGGTCATTCCTGGGAGGCGCCTCACAATGGCCCGAGAAGTAGTGCTATTGTTGTGGTTTTACAGATGGAGAAACTGAGGCTCAGGGCAGCTCTGAGCTGGGCACTCCGGTGTGTGGCGGGGTGGGGGTGGGCTGTGTGCAGTGGGAGCAGGCACTGAGCCGGCAGCCAGCCCACGGGCCCGGCCGCCCTCACGCCAGGCCCTTCTTCCCCCACACAGTGCAGGAGGTCTTGGGAGTGACTTTCCACATTCATGGAACTAAATCGCACAGGACCTCCCTCCCTTGCTGCACGTGCCCGCGAGGCTAAGTACAGGGGCACTGCGGGCTGGGAAAGCCATCTGTCCATCCACCCACCTGTCCATCCACCCAGCCATCCACCCACCCTCCTGTCCATCCACCCACCTAGCCATCCCTCTACTCCATCCCTCCTCCATGTCCACTCATCCAGACAACCAAGTGAAGGAAAAATTAAAACTATGTCCAAGGGTAAACTCTGATCCAGCCGTGTTTGTTTTCCATGCTGCGTGTGACTCGGGCCAGTGCTGAAGCCCGGTTGTTGGATGGACACGGCCTAAGTCAGAGCTGAGGGCTCTGCCCACAGCCCGAGGCCGTGGCCTCTGGGGTCACCAGGCTTTACCGGCAGGGGACAGCTCAGAGATGCCAGCTCCTACGCTTCCACACAGTCACAGAAGTCCCTCGCTCTGTGTCACTGCATGCACACACACCACAGAGACACGCCGGGGGCCAGCAGATGCCCAGGTCACGGCTCCAGGCTCTTGGAGACACCCCCTGGGGTGTGTCAAGGCACAATTGTGTGAGTGCGAGCACACATGTAGGTGTACACAAGAGCGCCCACAGCCTCCTGGAGGATGTTTCTGTGTTGACAGACCCAGGGGTGCGGCTGAGGTACCGCTGAGACTGGGAACAAGACCTCCAGGAGACCCCGGGAGCCTGGCCGTGCACGGCCGCCCCTGCCTCGGTACGTGCCCACCTCCTGGGACACAGGCGGTAGCAGAGCTCAGCTAGTGAGGCACCAGCATCCTGAGCTGGCCTCCACAAAGCAGAGGACACGAGCCCAACCCTCCACGGTGGCTCAAACACCTGAGCTTACCAGGCCGAGCCCGGGCCTGGTGCCCCCCGGTTCTGTGGGTGGCACCCTGGCCCCAGGCCCCTGTCCGAGGATGACCGTGGCCTCCTTGGCAAATAGAACTCCAGAACCCAGCTGCAAAGCGGGCACCGGCAGTAAGCACAGCTGCGGGACGACACCGGAGACGCCATATAAATAAAGTAGTCATAGAAAAATAGTCTCTCACAAAATACTCTCCTGTCCAGTGCTTGCTCTCAGAAGACGGCTGAGTTTACTACGAGTTCCCCATCGCACACACTCTCTCTCTCTCTCTCCCTCCCCCCTCATCTAATGGTAAAATTTGAACTAGGAGGACACAAGAATTGGAAATGTATTCTGGGTAAAAATGTCTCCAAATTTGGACTGGCTTAAACTTCTGGATAAGTAGCAGCAAACAGCAAAAAATATAAATGTGTGTATTTTATATATATATATATATGTATAAAGGATTTTGCTCTTTGTACTTAAACATCTAGTACTGTAAGGATGAACTGCAAAATCGGCTAGTAGAATCATCTGGGCAAGAATAATTATGTACAGTTCCACTTGGCTCCCAGCCCTAAGGTCAGAGCCACCCTGCCAGGAGAGCCAGTGGTCCACTTTGATTGCAGACAACGGATCCTGACGAGGTGGAGAATTTTTTTAATTAAATAAATTAATAGTATTTCTTATCAGAATAAATTGTTAAATATTGCTATGATGAGGCCCGAGGGTGAGTTCTCGGCGTGGAAGGCTGTGTTCCACCGTGAGGGGCCGAGGCCATGTCTGGGAGCGGGGGAGCAGCATCCGAGGTGGACGGGGGCTCTGCGGGGAGCCCGCCAGCGCCCCCTCCGCAGAGAAGACGGCCGGGAGCGTCTGCGGACCCGGTGAGGGCGGCGGCGGGGGGAGGGGGGGGGGGGACACGCAGAGGACGCCCCGAGCCCCGCAGCCCAGCCCGGCGGGGGGGGGGACACGCAGAGGACGCCCCGAGCCCCGCGGCCCAGCCCCGCAGGCTCACTTGCAGGTGTACATCTCCGTGCGCTCGCTGCACGTGTTGCACTTGACGTAGCAGCACCAGTGGAACTTGCAGTTGCACTGCCACACGCGGGCGTACTGGTGGGTGTTGTAGCCGCGGCCGCAGCACATGAGGTCGCAGCCGCTGGCCTGGGGCGCCGTCTTGTTGCAGGCGCGGCCCTGGGTGCCCACGCTGCCGGTCACGGGGTCCTCCTCGCAGTAATTGGGCGACTTCTCGATGTACACCAGGTCCGTGTCCATGGGCTTGCGGTAGGACAGGGGCTTCTTGATCTTGAGGAAGGTGGGCCGCTTGTTGCGGCTGGCGCGCACGGGCTCCACGTGCACGGCCTCGTTGTACTTGTCCTTGAGCACGTAGCCCAGCTCCCGGAACTGTGGCAGCGTGGTCCAGCACGTCTTGGTGGTGCAGGAGCCGGACACGCCGTGGCACTTACACTCCAGCTTCATGTTCTCCTCCAGGATCTGCGGGGCGGGAGGGGGAGAGCACAGTGCGGGTCACCGCTGTGGGTGAGGCCAGGCGCGGGCACGCCCCTCCGCGCGGCCCCGCCCCTCCGCGCGGCCCCGCCCCCGCCCCTCCACGAGGCCCCGCCCCTCCGCGCTGCCTGTGGCCGCAGCGTTCTCCATGCAAGGAACACGGACTTGTGTTCCCCTCCCTCCTTGGCTTTGGCACTGGGCCTACAGCCAGGACCCGCACCCCTGGGTCCTAGTTCAGTGCCAGGCTCAGTCCAGTCCAGAGCACACACGGGTTCTCTTTCGCCTGCATAGAGCTAAGATCGACTGGGAACCAAGACCTTAAAACCTGGAGGGGTTCACTTCAAAGACAGGCAACGCTGGGGTGGTAATCACCAGTGGAGCTGAGCCCCGACCCGTTTGTATGAATGGCGCCAAGACCAGCATAGCCATCCACCCCCCAGGCTCAGCCGCTCAGCACTGCTGGGCTGTGCGCGTGCGCGCACACACGTCAGACGCCTGGTCTTCAGTGATACCTCACAAAGGTGGATGGACACACCAGGGCTCGGATGTCTCACTTCCAAGACATGTACCTTAGAGGTCCATCCTGCATTTGTGCAAGGAACAGGACCCAGAATGTGTGTGGCAGCCTTGTCCCCAGGAGTGTCCACCCTGACACCATCCAGATGCCCACCCATCCACAGCCCAGAGGAACACAAAGCCCGTGACCGCCAAGGGCCCTGCCACCACCGTGACAGGGCCACCCCAGAAATGCAGAGAAAGAGGAGAATCACGACAGCTCTCCAGGAATGGCTTCCTGTGAACCCAATGCCAGGGCAGGGATTTGTTGTTTCGGAGCCCGTGTGGAGGGAGACAGTGAAGGAATGAGGCCCTGGCTCTCCTGGGTGGGGGGGGGTCGTGTTGCTCTGCTCTCTTCTCTCACGTGGGCAGCGGCTCCATGGAGTCTGCCTTGATGAGCAGAGCTGTTCTCAGGACCCTTGCACGAAGTGGTTTCTTACCATGTATAGAAAGTACAGTTGTCAGTAAATGTGAAAAGACACTCAGTATCCTTAGTCAAGAGGAAAGTGAAAACCAAACCCACTCCACTCTGGTGCGGCCAGCGTCAGAAGTGGACAATGGGGAGACAGCGCTGGGAGGCAGAGCCGAGGCCCTGGGCCGGGCACAGCGCTGAGGTCACCGCTGGAGACGCGGCACACAGATATCCCCCAGATACCCAACAAAAATGCTGTTGCTACAGATAAGGACAGTGCGCTGTGTATTTTTAAAAGCCAGAGGGGAGGATTTTGAATGTTTTCACCAAATAGCTTAAATGGCTGTATTGTGTGTGGTAGCTTATACCAGTAAAGCCATTTTATTGAAAAAGACATCCCGTAGCTCTAGAAAGTTCTAGAATGAAAGCAGCACAAATACCAGTGCGATTGTTCCTGCTGCAGTGGTCCCTGGACAACAGGCCCTGAGCCAAAGGTCCTGGGCGTGTGGATGCCACTGTCTCACGCCACGTCCCTCAGCCCGCCTCCCTCCGCGGTGACCACGGAAGCCTCAAGCCATGGTAGCACTGAATGGGCCTCTAGCCAGGTGACCACCAGAGCCTCAGGGACGGCACTGTGCCTTCATTTAGTGGGTGTAATCACGCTGGCCCGGCCAGGGCTGGAGAGGGCCACAGGAGAGGAAGCGAGCACAGGACATGGCTGCATTCCTCACCTCCCTGTTCCTGCCCTCAAAGCCAGGCACTTCAGGGTCAGGGGGTCTGAGGCTGAGAATCCCCCGTGATGGCCCAGCCGGGCACCTTCCCAGAGCCTGGCACGTACCAGGTGTTCAGGATGCCCCGGGGTACTTCACTCAGCCCTCCAGCCTGGTAAAGAGCAGCAGGGCTGCCTGGTCCCATTCCGTAGCTCCCACCTCCACCACACAGAAGCAGACCGAGGGAAGACGTGCCTGAGGCTGGCTCCGGCCCCAGCAGGCCTGACCCCTGGGGTTTGGCCAGTGCACGGTCTCAGGGGAGGCCAGGGGACAGGGAGAAAGTCCTGCTAGGCTCCAAAGGGCGGCTGAGCTCTGTCCGGCTCCCATTCCTGCGGGGGCCTCCGTTCTGTACACCCGAGCCCCTCCGTACACCCTGGCCTCCTCCGTCCACGGAGCACTCAGCATGCGCGACTGCACACTGTTTAAAAACAGTTCCACGGCCATATAGCCTGAGAGCGGAGGCTTCATCTAGTTACGGTGTGCAGTGCAGTGTCTCCGCACTGTGCTCCGGAGCTGTGCAGACATCGCACCGTCTAATTCTGCACCCTTCTCCTCACAGCCGGTCCTCAGCCCCTCCCCAGGCCTGGCCTGCTCTGGGCCCTCAGGGAAGGAGCAGGCCAGCAGCTGGCTGTCCGTGCGCTGGGCGCGGGGGGGGGGGGGCGCTGACTCCGCTCCGAGCTGGCCTGTCTCCGGCACCGTGAGAGGTCTCATCCCCGACTGCAGCTGCAGCCCCTGTCAGAACGGCCTCCCCGTCACGGCTGAGCTCAGCCCCTGATGCGGCTTGTGTTTACCTCTCCTTTATTCCCAACCTGGCCCTGCTGTGGGGATCCTCCTGGTGCCTCCACGTGGCACCTGGCCTCAGCCCCGCCGCCCCGCTGCGGCTAGCCGTGTCCTCCCAGGCCTCGGCCGTGCCCCTGCGTCCTGATCGGGAAGGCCAGGCTTTATCCCCACTCACAACCTGAGGCCACAGTTGTACTGGGCGAGTGCTGTGGTAAGAGTCTCATGGAGACCTGGAAAGGCCAGAAGAATGTACAGAGCCGCAGGGACAGCGAGAGGGCCGTGTACCAGACCACCCAGGACTGCTGAGGAGGACGGGGCGGCTCTGCACTTAGCGAGGGCCATTCTGCAAGGTGCATTGTGAAGAGGACAAAGCAGGGGCTGGGGAAGCGTAGAGACCTGCACCCCATGCTTCTGGAGAACAGGATCGTCACAGGGTCCAACAGGAGAAGTGGGGGGGGCGGTGGCTGCCCCCAGGGAGGACACCAGGCGCCGGAGGGCACACAGGCAGCCGGAGAGGGACATCTTCAGAGGTCGCTGAGCGCGGCCTCCTCACCTGCCGGTCCACGTGGGATGCAGCCCTTCCCAGACTGAACTGTGCTCAGTGCAGACAGAGGAGAGGTGAAATACAGGCTGCAGCTCGGCGCTGGTGCCTCACACCCATAACCCTAGCGACTCAGGAGTCTGAGACCTGAAGGACTGGGGTTCCAAGCCAGCGCAGGCAGAAAAGTCCACAAGATTCTATCTCCTCTCAATTGGCAAAATGCCAGATTAGAGGCATGGATCAAGTTGTAGAGCACCAGCTATAAGCAAAATAAAGGCAAGCAACCATGTGAAACCCTGTATTCAAGGCCTAGTACCTGCACCAAAAAATTAAAAATAAGTAAATAAATGATGGGGCGGGGGGAACCTTGAAAATCTCGGAAGCACAGATAGGAGGGACTTCAGAAAGACTGAGATTCAGAGGCCTACTGGCTAAAGAGTCAGTGGGTGGAAGCCGCATGGTCAGTGGGTGGAGGCCGCATGGTCAGTGGGTGGAGGCCGCATGGTCAGAGCTAATGCACAGTGAGGGAGCAGCTGGCCTTCCTTTGTGATTCCTAGAACTAGGTAGGGTATGCTGGACAGATTGGCAGAAACAGCCACTGGGTGTATTGATACACACCTGCCATCCAAGTGCTTGGGAGACTGAGGCAGGAGGTGTGTATCAAGTTTGAGGCCAGCCTAGATGACAGTGGAAACCCTGTCTCAAAAAGTAAAACGAGACAGCCCGGCGGGGGGCGGGGGGCGGGGGCGGGAGGGAGCTGTTTAGCTTAGAGGTGCCATCTTGGGGACGCCTGGGGCTGTTCCACAGCTCTGCCGGCCCGTCCTGGGACATGAGCAGGAGGGACCCCAAGAGGATGGGGGTCCAGGGAAGCAGACCTTGCTGGGTGGTGGCCCCTGGGCCCAGGGGTGGGGCCGCAGCCCAACCCCTTCCCTGCCCGCAGCAGCCATGGCCCACACCTGTCTGGAGCAGCAGGAAGGACTTTCCGCACTGCTGGAGGGAGAAATATCAATCTCCTCCTGACAGGTCCCCCAGGAAGTGCAACAATGCCCCAGATGCTGCCCCGACCCAGAATTACTCAAGGTGAGGCTCTCCGGCGCAGGAGGGGCCTGGGAAGAAACTTGGCTCCAGAAAATTCCTTGATACATCCTGCCAAATAGATGGTATCTAAGTTGGCCTGCTGCGGCCACCCGGCTCCGGCTGCCCGGAGGAGCCAGAGTGAACTTCCTGGAGAAGGAACAGGTCTCGAGGGACGGGGCCGGTGGCTCCCGCTCAGTCCTAGCCATGGGCGCCGCGGAAAGCAACTCTCCCAAGCATTCAGAAAGGCCTTTTAAGAACCAGACGGCTCTACAAGCCTAGCTTCCCAGGAGGCAGACACGGGAAGGATTGCAGTTTAGAGGCTTGCACAGAAAGCTGTGAGGCCCCCCTGGTCCGATGTCGTGTGCATACCTGCCCTAGCTTCTGCTTCTCCTCCTCCTCTCCCTCCCTCCGCTCTGCCCGCCCGCCTCTCCTCCCTCCTGCCGCATTCCTCTGGGCAACTCGGATGGAAGTGGGAAGGTGGCCTTTTTTCCTCCTGTAAACGTTTGGGTGTCTTACATTCTTTAAGTCACACGGACGCACCGACTTTGGGAAAATGTTTCTCGCTCAGGTGGGCGCAGGCCAGGGTGCGTTCCGCAGGGCCTGGGCCCGGCGCTCTCCAGGTCACCAGGGCCAGCACCCCAGCTGCCCCACGGTGAACTGACCTCGCTCCAGCAAGGCCTGCGTCTCACAGACAAACAGCCCGACTACAGACGGGTCTTTCTAGAGTTCTGCTCATCCAGTACCCCCTGCTGTGCGCGCGCACACGGGCACAGAACACGGCCTCACACGTGTGCACTACCCCAGTCACGCGTGTGTGCGGGCTGTCTCACCGTCTGTCCCCGCGTCCACACGT